GTATCATACATCTTCATTTCACAAATGAGGAAATTACTATCTAAAGAAGTTAAATAATGTCTAAAAGATTAAAGTAACCACATATAGACCATGGTACTGAAAGCCAACAATAAAGAGAAAACACTGGAAGCAGCCAGAGACAATAGCACATTATATGCATGGAGACAGTGAAGTGAGTGGCCAACTGACTTCTCATCGGAGATGATAAAACAAAACTAAGATGCTGGAAGAAAAAAAGTCTGTTCAGAACTATAAATTCATGAAAAATATGCTTCCACAATTAATGCTAAATACATTTTCATATGAAAGAAAAGAGAACTCTTCACCAGCAAACTTACACTACTAGAATGATTCAGGGTAAAGGAAAATGATACCAGACAGAACTTATGAATTTAAGAAGAAATGAAGAATATAGGAAGTGTCAATGATAGTAGATATAGCCTGTGCCATCCAGAATCTCTATCAAGTAACTAACTATTCTCTGTGTCTATTACTAGAAGCACTGTCTGTGAACAGGCTTTGGTTTTCAGCATCTTCAGAGATTGCTTCAGTTACTCTGCCCCAGGTCAGACCCTTGTACGACAGCCCACCTCTACCAACTGAGCAAGAGGGAGCTGAAAAGGATGAAACACTCTGATCAGTGCAAAGGCTCTGGGGCCATTCTATCTCCAGACCTCATTGTGGGATCAGATGAGTTTGACAGTTGACTGAGATTGCAGGTGGACTTCTTCCTCTGCCAACATTTTGTACACAGAACTGTATCTCAGAGTCCAAGTCTAAGAGAACCGGAATAGCCCCAATAACTCAAGAACCACAGATTTTTAAAGAAAATTATTTCTTTAGAAATATAAAAACTTTATGCTTCAATACTATACTTTTCTAGTATGTTTTTCTTAAATACAGTCAGCATGAAGTCTAGGTTTTCAGACATTCAAGACATAAATTATAGCTAGGAAACCTTTGAGACTGATTATTTTAATACCCGAACAATGTCATTTCTTTCTGAGGGGAAAGGAAAATGAACTGACTGTAACTGTGAATACTATATGAATTTGTAATATTTATTATTATCACTGCTTTAAAAGTAATAGGTGTTGATTTTCTTCTTAGAAGTTGTTAGCATCATATAGTCCTAAACTATTTCATAATCACAGATCTGCTCTTTAGATCTGTAGTCAGGAATTGGCAAATGTCAGTAGTACCAAGAAAAAAAGAAGCAAAAATACAGTGTTAGTTGCAATATTTCAATCATTCTGTAGATTAAGTTTTCTAACACAACATAAAACCAAACGACCCCAGGATGAATTTATTAGCTACTGAAATATTCATAACCCTAATAGGAAGTAGTTTATCTACAGGGAACATTTTTATTTCTTTCCATCTCCCTGTTGCCATCCTTGACCTACTAGCCTCCCTATATCTAATCTCAATGCATTTGTCAATTTTGTAAGTTTCTTTCCTCCTCTTTTAAGGTTAAACACAAAATGTATAGCTCATATTGTCTCTCTTTGTATTTCTTCTTATATCTATATTTTCTGTTACAGAATAATTATGGTTCCTAGGACCCAATGTCAAAAATGTCTAGTGCTTATTACATTACTTTTAGCTCTATGCATTCTCCTTGTGAGATTATCCACTCCATAAATGTTTCCAAAACCCTGGATTATGCTATCCTTACAAATACCTATAGGAATTCCCCTCCTTTGCCTCCTCCTTCCCTAAAATGAATTTAACATCATTCAATAAACTCCCTACTCAGCCACTAATGTGACATTATGGAACTTTCTAAAATAGGAATCTTGGAGTAGAAATTCTTGACTCCTGTTTCAAAATAAATATTTTACTAAGTACCACTACTACTCAAAGGGATACTAGAGCCACATTATTCCCAGAAAATATTGCCTCATATTATTTTATGGTTCACAAAACAACAAATGGCCCTTCACTGGCTACTGCCCAATAACCAACTTCCTCTGTTTAATGGTCAAGGACCCTTGAAATTCAGCCTTATTTCCCACTATCGTATAACACACAGTTTCTGTTCCACCAAGCTACACTCCTTTCTTTCCTTAACTACCTTGCCTCAGTTCATGTTATTCATCTCTCAATTTGTTCCTCTGCTTTTCCCCATCTATTCAAGCCTGTCAGCCAAGGCCCAATGTAAGACCCTTCTCCTCCAAGAAGACTTCAACAAATCAAACCCACCTTAATTTCACCTTTTTTCAGGCTTTTACTAAGTTCATATCAATTGCATTATATTGATTTTAAATGTTCCCAATGGCTTCACCTCAGCTTTGGCTGCCTAATTTAGATTTGTTGTAGGCACTATCTTCCACACATACAGCCTCTGTACACATTCAGTGCTCTTAAAAAGGACTTTTACTAATTACTTCAGCACAGATGTTTAGAGGAAAGCACACTTATAAATTATTATAACACAAAAATTCATAGTATTACAAACTAGGTTAGAAAGAGGGACTGACATCAGTGAGAACAAATCCCTTCTTTTTCACATTTGTTTTAATCTCTTTCACTCTTGCAAATCTGCTAAAACTACCAACCTGGTCCTGATATTTATCTCTTCAATGTTGCTTCCTGCCCTCTAGTGGAAGGTACTGACAAATAAGTAAAACTATAACCAAAGAAGAAAAAAAAAAATAGCTTTCCTTTACAGCAACTCATATTGGAAAAATTTTTATAAAATGTGAAAACATTATGATCAGGATGAGCACAAGCAAAGAACTCTCAGAGGCTACAGGGACAAAAAAAGGAGATAGCACAGGGCATGAGATTTGGAAAAGAAAGGGATTATATACAAGGTTAGGAATTTGGCTCTAAGGGAGACAGTTTATTTCCAGTTTTCCTCTATAGTATTTCCTAATTTTAAAAAATATATATATTTTTTGGTACTGGGGATCGAACTCGGAACCTTGCTCTTGCAAGGAAAGTGGGGAACCACTGAGCTAAATCCCAGTTCCTAATTAAATATTGTCTATTAACTTCCATATGGCTTGAATCTATAAGCAAATAAGTAAAACATAAAGTAAATAGGTAAATTAAAAAATCCTATTTCCCCTTTTAGCCATTTTCTTCCTGTTTTGAGAGGGGAAAGGAAATAAGGGAAAAGAAAAAATGTGAAAAAAGGAAAAAATGGAAACAAAGTCTTTGTAAATAGGGAAGGGTGAAAGGGGTGAAGGGAGGGCAGAGATACGGGGAAAAATGAGAACCAAGATAGACCATGCAAGGGTACAAGATCCCAGTGATAAATGTAACTGTATTGTTTGCTTGAAATGTACCAATAAACTTAACGGGGGAAAAATCCTATTGCTTACATTGAAGTTATCTGTCTTCCTCCTTGTGAATGTACTTTGTATGTGGTAAATTATTTGGCAGTATTTCTAGCAAAACAATATTAGTAAGAAACATATAAAGTGACTGCTCAAGTGGTGCTTCTCATTATTCTAAATTATTTCTTGAAGAATTTACCACACAAAATCACTGTACATAAAGTAAATTTACCTTTTATCTATCTTAAACCTAAAAAATTTGATAATTTTATTAATACAAGCATAGATTTAGGAGATTTGATGTATATAGTATATCCTAGTTGTGTTCTAAAGTTGTTCTAAAATTTTTAATTTTTAATATTCAAGTTATTTATTTTGTTTTAATCTTTTTTTTTTCCTTTGTTCCCACAAGTGAGGTACAATTCGACATACATACACAGTCCTTACCTACTTGGCTTCTCCTACCCAGTGCAGTCTTGCACAGGTTTCTAGAAGCACTTCCTACAGGATCCCAACTATCAAAATATTCAGATCACTTTTTTCAAGGAATAGTCCACTAAGCTTATAACCATTGGCCTAACTTCCTCCAGTGGTCTGATGACTACAGGTGTTCTTTAGTGAGAAGCATAAGGTTAAATATTGATGAAAATTGCCCATTCACATGTTTTGTGCTGCTCATGACAGATATGATACCTGAGTGTGACCCTGCCACGTGATAGTCATGTCTGACCTGGACAAATCATTTCACTTCTCTAAGCCTTGGTTTCTCTCTTTGTAAAATGGAGAGCTGTCTTCCATGCCTACTGCGAGGGGTTGCTGTACACATCAAAGAAAAAAAGTGTGTGAAAAATCTCAAGAGAAAGATACAGAAGTAGAGGACAGTTATTTTACATGTGCTCACCAGCAAAATCAATATGTGATTTTTTTTCCGCTGGAAGATGGACAAAAATAAATTTTCAAGTCATTCAGATAAGGGGGAAAGCTTTTATTCTTTAAATTACCAAATTTAAAAAATTAAAACCAACCACACTGTACCTTTGCAGCTGCCCATTACTAAAAGTGAAACCTGAAAATTCCCTCCCACATCAACTCCCACCAACCCTCTATAATGAAATCAGGACACCTCCACAGAAGCCCCAAGTTCTCTTCAACTCCTACAGAAAACTAGATGTTGAAAAGTGTGTACTCTGATTCAGAAAGTGTGTCCAACAGCCTACACATCGTCAAGCTAAATACAGACATGTATCATAGACACCAGCATAACTGTATGCATTTTAAAAGCACCTAGTCACTGAAAGTAACGGAAGGTAATACTCTCCTAATTTATTCTATTGACTTCACAGACCAGGATAGAAAGGATAGCAAAGTTATTTAAATTTTATCCAAAAGAGGAGAAAAACATAAAGAGAACTCAGGAAAAATTCATTGCTAACTATTGGGTGTTTACTTTATCTTGCCTTGCCCAAAAACTGGGAAAGGGGAGGAGGAAGTGACAGGCAAACTGAAGATGTCTGTACTGTAGTAGGGTGCAAAACAAAATCAATAACACAAAGCAGAAAGTAAGGATAATAAAGCCAACAAACCTGGGAGCGACCCCTATATTTACATTTGCAACTAGCTCACGTGGCACCATTAAAAAAAGGCAAAGAAATTTGAGAAGAGCTAAGATCAAGTCTCTCACCAGTGTTTCCCCCAAAGAGAACTCAGACTCACCCGCCACTGAGAAGACGGTGAGCAGCAGGAGTAGCCCGAGGTCAGAAGTTCTCCAGGGGCAGAGCATTTCTGTTTTCTCCTCTTCTGCCCTTCACTCAGTGTGTTTCCCCCCTCACAAGTCCAGCAACAGCTGTGAGCATGGCCAGGCTTTCTCCCTGAGACTTCTTGGTGCTGGATTTTCTTGCTCGTGGCCAGCAGGGCGCCCCTTTCCTCCTAGTCTTTTCCTTCAACGCGACATGTTGTAGTCTGATTAGTAATTTGGAAAAGAAGAAACTCTTCACTGAAACTTGACACAGCAATATATTTCCTGTATGAAGCACTGAAGCAAAGCCGGAGGAAGCAGATTGATTGAGTTATCCTTCAGCTCATTGGTTCTTCTCTCACTTCTGCTGCTCACAGATAAACTGTACAGTAAGGCGATGAATGTGCCCAAGATAAACAGATTTGTAAAGGCTTGCATTAAAAAGTAAAACCGGGAGGACATTTATTGCCTGCAAATTTCCTAATCATGGTAACTTTTAGGTCAAAGAGGCATTCGGCCTTAGTATTCAACTGTGCCATGGAACCTTCCCCCTTGACATTCTTTGGGTGAGATTGGTGAGTAAAACAGGAGTCCACACAACACTCTGGAAGCACGGAAGTGCATCAATTTTTAATCACTACTCTAACAACCACACACTGAGGAACACAAACTGAGTACCTCACTGTCTGTAAATCAAAAGTCAGAAACAGATCTCACCAAGTTAAAAATCAAGGAATGGGCAGGACTGCATTTTTTCTTCCTTGCTAGTCCAGTACCTGGGGAACGAACATTCGTTGGCTCCTGGACACATTACTCTGCCTTTGACTGTACTGGCTCATCTCCTGATTGTGACCCTCCTGTCTCCCACTTACTAGGACCCTTTGTGATTATATTGGACCCACTGAGATACTCCAGGATATCTCTTCATCTCAAGATCCTTCATTTAATCTCACCTGCCAAGTCCATTTTGCCGCATAAAGTCACATACTCACAGATTCCACGAATTCAGACATTGCCACTTATCCGGAGGGGTCACTATTCTATATCTCAATTCATTACTCATAGGCGTTTACTTTCACCTGTGAACACACTGATCATTCAACAAAGTGTCAAAAGAATATTCATCTTGTAGTTGCCACTCATCTGGAACTCCTACCTTCCAGAAAACCTCTGCCTAATGTTGCTAGCTAATGCTGGATTACATTTTAGAGGGGAAAAAGTCTATGTGCTAAGAATTCCCTACCCCAAAACAAAATCTTCTAGAAAGGGAAGAAAACTTTGAAAACTAGAAAAAGATTAAAGAGCATGCATTTTTCCCCTAAGTTAGCAGTTCCATCTTCCTTTTTGCCAAACATTAAACTATAAATATTTTTCCTCTTTCCCTTTCTTATATCTTCTTTCTAGTGAGCAGATTTGGCATGGACGACTTCAGAATATGAGTTCTAAAAATGAGTAGGCTATAGGAATCTTCTCTTCTGTCCAGTGCTTAATCAGGTGTCAAAAAACCAGTACAGAAATTTCATTTAAAATATAACACTCTGGGGCTAAAAAACCAGTACAGAAATTTCATTTAAAATATAACACTCTGGGGCTAG